GATCTCATCTCTACAGACTGGGTAGAAGGCCATTCTACCCTTCCCTGAACTCTCCTTAATCAGCCTTGACCAGAACCCTAAAGTCAACGAAAGTCAACGGCCAACTTTGACCCGACTCGCCGAGTGCACTAGGGTGACTTGGCGAGTACACGCCTGCCCTCTACGCCCCTGGTCCTCCCTTGACTCGCTGAGTCAACCTTATACTCCACGGGTCGTCACAGGTCGCGAGTCGCGGGGCAACCCGACTCGACTCGTCGAGTCTGCTCATGGACTCGGCGAGTTCATTCCATGCTCACACTCAAATGACCTTCTGAGGTCAGATCTGTTCCTCAATATAAAATACTTAAAATAGGATACCTGGGAATCCGGATGTTACAAATATCATGTTATCTGAGACTCTATATCACTCTCATGCCATCTACTAGAGAAGATATGGAAACAAGATTATATGTTGTGGCTACAATAAGAATTGGAAGACATTTATAATGTATTTCACGTATGCTACCTGGCGAAGTTGAAGGGTGATGAGGTAGATACTAGAAGAAAAGACTCATTTAGGAACCAAAGGAAATTGTGGATGGAAAGACTATAAAATTGATAAGAAAGATGATAGATATTGTACCGGTTGAATGGAGACTTCGCACCGGTGCAAATCTTACTTGGGAAACGAATTATGAATGAAGAAAAGATACCCACAAGTTTTTCAAGATCTTGCGATTCCGAGGACGGGATCGTCCTAAGATGGAGGTAATTGTAACACTTTACTTTTAGGGATATTTTTTTTATCAAAATAATAATAATAATCATTTTTAATTTGAATACAAAGAAATTCTTAGAAGATTAAAATGTTGTATTCAAATATTTTAATAGTTTATTAGTACTTTGAAGGCGGGGTATCTTGGCGTCACCCTAAGGGATATTATAATATGATTAATTAAGAATAAAGATTTAAATGGTTTATAGTAATGACAAATTAAAAAAAGTCATTGTGTATGAAGTTTGAAAGTTAATAAGTGTCTACATGTGTATTGTAGGGGGGTGTAAGAAGAATTGTAGTGCAAGTGAATTGCTAGTGTCTATACAACTAAGGTGAATTTATTCGAGCACATGTACTATAAACATACTATGTAACTCTTTGGCATTTTTCTTAAACTTGATTCTATGTGTTGCATAGTACTTGTTGCATCATGAAAGCCTATTTTGAAAATATATCTAATTAACCTGTTTTGAAAGATTTCTAAAAGTATTTTGTGAGCATCCTATATGTGCATTTCATATTAGGGTAGGTTGGGCTTGAAGTGACACTAGGCATGTATAATGGACCGCAAATGGAACACATCGGACCAGAAATGGAACAAATCGGACCAGAACCCGAAAAACCCACAAACCAAATAAGACATAAATTAAGAATCGAATACATTAACCAATCGTTCAGTCGTACTAAGAAATGTGCTATTTAAGAATGTGTTCGAAACGGAACTGGACCAGAACTAAAACCGAAAAAACATAAGTGGAATAAGTCGTAAACTAAGAACCGAGAACCGACCAAATACTACTAACCAGTTCCAACCGGTTCGCGTCCGGTTCCGGATTGGTTTTTCGGTTAAAAAGCCCTTCCCTAGGTGACTCCAAGGTACCAAAATCTATTATTATGCGTTGTGAGTGGTTTTATTTATGGATATTAATCACCACAATGCGTAAAGTGGTTAGATACCCTTTGAGTGGTCATGTGCAATGGTCCACAAGTCAACTAGTATGTTATTATGTTGGTAAGGTTGTACATGGTGGGTTGTGTACTAGCCACGAAGCCATGTATGACTGATACCATGTTATGTAGGGAGGGTTGTAAAACCGATACGATGTTATGTGGATGTACAAACCTTGTAGTATATTGTCGGATGGACATGGAAATTGGGTTTAGGATCATAGGCATTGCATTTCTACTAATATTGTGAAACTAATATGTTGATATGTTTTCAAAAGTCAATGATATTACTTGAACCCGCTTTAAGGGTATTGGGATGTTTTGTTGATTTAAACTATTTTGGAGGTTCAACTCCAAGTATAGATGACTGTCATCATCCTTTACTCTTGAAGAGTTGCACTCGCGTATTCTCACGAGACATTCTCACGCCTCATGCTATATTTTGACGTGTTAGAGATGAAGAAGGATGCTTGGTTATTTAGAAGATGATATAGATGTAATATCGTACTTTCAGTTATGTTTTGAGATCCATTGTAATATCCTCGCTATGCTTTAAACTAAATTTGAATTTGGACCAAATGCATATCCGCACATGTTTTAACAACTTAAACTCTCATTTTTGGATGAAAACTATATTTTAAGACCATTTTAAAATCACCATATGCGAGTGATGGTTTACCTACTATTGGCTATCCAGAGTGTTTCCATAAGGTTTGCGGCAACTTGGAGTAACACGTCAAAATGGTCCTTCAAGAACATTACCTTCTTCATTCGTAAAGAGAATAACCGTTGCTTCAATAGTAATTTGTTCGTTAAGGAGTTTGTCTTGTACAGACTCTCAAGCGTCAACCATAGAGACATTTTCTTCATCTGCGACTTCATAAATCATCTCATCAGCTAAGGACAGTAAGATGGCAGACTGAACTTAGTCATATTGCTAGGTGAAGTCTGATTCAAACATGCCTCTTGGTCGGTTTTGAGCATCTTGTCAATGTTATTGCCAAAAGTATAGACAAATAAATTTATCATAGCAGCCATGCCATCTGACCACGACCTCTCACTGATCTTTGATGATGGGGAATTCGATAAACAAATACTATCATGTTCACGGTGCTGCAGGAAAAGCGCAGCATTTAAAAGAATACCAATCCCTGACGAATCACATAAAGACATTTACCCTGCCAATAACATTTATATATGTCTCTTGATTTTTTTGACACAACTGTGGACTGAAGTATTTATCGGATTCTGTAAACCTATTCAATTTTTGATGATTAAATTTAGTGTTTTGGTGGAGTGAAGGGCCTGATGCACCATGGTGAATAGATCCCACTGCAGGAACAATGTGTGCAATTACTTCAGTGACCAATAAATGTTCATTTTCCATTCCTTTTCCTTCCAAATTGATTAATTATAGAAAAGGGTGATATTTGTTCATGATTTGTTTTCAGCTTATAAATTGAAGACCTTTAATTTATGGATCCTGGTTCGATTTATGCTTGTGACATTAATTGCTACGAGCAACATTTCGTATACAAAAATCAAACACATTCTGTAATCAATATTTTAATGAAATACATGTATAAATGACCATACTATATAACTCTGAAAACAAATAAATAATCATCTAAGCTTCATCAGCATTCCACAGAGATCTAGGTACTAAAAGTAGCAGTTGTAAGGTGAATCAATAGACATCTAACTTTGCAAAAAGCATTACTTTATGGATGGGTAACGGAAGGGATAGGAAAATCCTTAGGCAACTCTGGCAATGTGGGCTTCGGAATGACGGGAAACGTGGGCTTTGGAAACTCAGGAACCTCAGGCTTTGGAACTACAGGAACATCAGGTTTTGGAACCTCAGGAAGCTCAGGCTTTGGAAGCACGGGAAGCTCAGGCTTTGGAAGAACAGGAATCTCAGGCTTTGGAACCACGGGAACCTCAGGCTTAAGCAGCACGGGAAGCTCAGGCTTAGGAACGACCGGAAGCTCAGGCTTAGGAAGCACCGGAAGCTCAGGCTTTGGAAGCACGGGAAGCTCAGGTTTAGGAAGTACGGGAATCTCAGGCTTAGGAATGACAGGAAGCTCAGGCTTAGGAAGCACCGGAAGCTCAGGCTTCGGAAACACGGGAAGCTCAGGCTTTGGAAACACGGGAAGCTCAGGCTTAGGAACCACGGGAAGGTCAGGGATCTCTGCAAGTTTACGTGCCTCAGCAATGATGTTCCCGCTAAATGATGCTAAGCTGACCGAAACAAGAATCAGGATTATGGAATTTAGGTGAGAACGTCCCATGGTGTTGCAAAAGGTAGATATTTGAAATAAGAAACTAAGAAGTTAATTAATTCGAGATGGCTTGAAATGGTATATGTGTTCGTTTGGATTTATATAGTGGACGTGGGATGTTGGGAATAGTGTTAAGTACGTGAGTTGGTAGGAATTTCTTAGATTTGGGAGAGTTAGCTCAACTTCTCATCTGTACATAAGAGTTGAGCTGTCTTAAGATATGAAAATGTGGGGATGAGACTTGGCGACTTTCCTTAGGAGGGTTTAATAGAAAGCATATTTGTTTATTTATTTGACAAATGAAACATAGTAGGTTCTTCATGATGCAAAAAGTCGTAGGTTATAAATTTTAGTTATTGATAGTAAAAGTGGAAAATATAAACAGAATTTCTGTAATTCGATGAAATAAATTATATCCTTATTATTTGGTTCGAAGATAAGAATTCAAAGATCCACCTTAACTTAATTTCCTAGTGCACATTATTGACCAATCCAAAACAATTAAATTTTGGGCCAGTACACAAGAAAATATATCTAGCACCAATATAAATTAGGAAAGCAGGTAAAATAATTTTTTTCCAAACCGAAATTTCACCAATTAAAACATAAAATTCAAGCTTCAACTGACTTTACATTCGTTAGAAATTCAATTTTTTTTCTATGAACTAGAACTAACGAGGAGCTTGATTTACAAAGTGATGCACGGCGGTCAAGCAGGCCTAAGATTATACCGCCAACCATTCTGGTGGATAGATCTACCAAATTTGGAGAAGTTCAAGATTCCAAAGAAAAGAGAAAAACCGCACCTCACTTGCTAAATTGGCATTGATCATTTACTTACTCATCTCTAAATATTACTAAAACAAAACCTTAAATTCTTCAATGAAGAAACAAGGGCCCTTGATTGCATTTCCCTCCTTTACTATACACCTTAGGATCATTTTGCTGACATCATCCTGACCCAAAAAAATACACGCGCCTCCCGAATAAAACTTCCTTCTTACGATTCATTCCTAATTTCATTCTTATGTTTTCTCTCCACACAATCAACACAATCAGCTCCCCATGAAACTCAAAAGATACGAACCCTAACCCCTTCCTTCTGCCGATATGCGTAACCCCATTGATTTCATATATACATGGAATCGATCCTATGCGTTCTACTTCTGCTGATATGGAATCGATCCTATGCGTAACCCCAGGAAGCCTTGAGAGGCACCACGTCGACCATCAACAATTTTCGATCCTGTGTGTTCTACTTCAGATGCAGATGAAATATGTTGAAGCTCGATTAGGAGATCGAGTTCTTTATGCAGGTAAGATTTTGAAAACCCTAACCGCGTTTCCATTTTGAACCCTTCTTTAGCAGCTTCAACATTAAACCCTTCTTTAGCAGATGTTTCAAAGTAAGGAATATTTCCTTTTGAAGCACACCATGCTTTTTGCTTTCTTCTCCGACACCTGAAAACAAGAAAGTAGATTAAACAAATGTGTTTTCGCATTCCATTTGTTACTTGTGTATTGGAAGTTGAATCTTGATGAATTTAAATTTAAAATGACAAAAAGACCATATTACCACTCTGTTATTGCACCCATCAACATCGATCTTGTTTCCCAAAACAACAAATGGAAAGTTTTCTGGATCAGAAAGTCTTCCTTCCAATTATTAAGACTCTCAAATGACTTCATCACATTCACATCATGCACAAGAACACAACAATCTGCACCACGATAAAATGCCACACCAAGGCTTTGGAATCTTTCCTGTCCAGCTGTGTCCCATATCTCTAACAAAATCAACCCCCAAACCCTATCGATTTCAATAATGGATGCTTACAAACTTATAATAATGGCGTGATTTCATGGACGTTTGTAATGAATCAGACCTGTAAAGTGAAAAGCCTATCTTCAAATTGTATCTCTTTAGTTAAGAAATCAGCTCCGATTGTAGCTTTGTACTGATTACTGAACTTTCTGTTCACGTATCTGAATTCATATCATTAAGGCTTATTGGGGTTTTTGTGTACTTATGTTTGCTTCGAGATTTGGCTCCTTTTTTATCTAGATTATCCCCTCTAAACATGTTTACCCAAAGTTCTTATGCGACTTTAGATTGAAAGAGAGAGTTTTGTTTCTTAAAGCCGAAGGTTTTTCAATCCTTTATGCATGAATTGCAGAATGAAAGCATAGTGGATTATGATTTATTGTTGTATGCAGGGTCATTTTCTTCCCACTTTTCCTATTTCATGTTGTTGTTGCCAGAGGAAGATTCTCATTACCTGCACCATCAGTTCCCCATGTCTGTGATGTATTATCTCTTTCTTTTTCTTCCTTTTCATCATCATTTTTCATTCACTTTAATATGTAAGACTATAAGTATGAACAATCTGTATAAACCTTATGAACTGTGTCATTTCCATATCTTACATTATGCATCAGGGAATACTTTTTCTTTATCTTTTATGCAGTGGGAACCATGTCATGCAGTTGTTGCCACACCTTTGCTTATTGCATTTGAACTGCTTCTTTTCATCTATCTTGAAAATAGCCATGGTATGACAACATATGATATTATTATATTAACTGTTTAGAAAATAATACCATGTATATCGGTTCTGATTCCATACTAATTTTGTTTTATGCAGTTACTAAGCCTCCACCTTTAAGCCTGCAGATTGTCTTCCTTCCTCTGTTGGCATTTGAAGTAACCATTCTGATAGATTTTTTCCATCTTTCCTTTACTACAGGTGTACCATGAGTCAGACAAGAGGAGAACCAATCAATAGTAGTCCTGCATTTGAGAATATAAGTGCATGTATTCAAGGAGCTGATCAATAATATTCCTGCATTTAATTTCTAAATTGTCTCATGTACTAATGATTATATGCTTGAATCATTCGTCCTTTATTTTTCAGCTGTTGTGAATTTAAAGAATTTACAGAAACATTTTCATGCTACTTGATAAATTAATTTAAAGAAACAAGAAAATCTTTTACTTTTATTATAGGTGCTTCACTTGCTGTTGTTGTGGATGCTGTCAGAAAAGGTGCAGCTGCATAAGGCATGACAATTACAGACTATGTTTGGCGTGGACATGATCCCACATCTTAGTAAGACTGGACCTGCACTTGACCTTTTTAAAGCTAAATTCGAGGTAATGCTATTAATTTGAATACCTTTTTAACTTCACACAAATCTTATTTCTTCCATTCTTTTCATTTTTTTTATAAATACAGGTTGTTATGGATGAAGCAAGATCTGAACAAGCTGCATCCATGACTGAATTTCATTGGCTAGGGCATAAATTTCCAATATCAAATGCCAAAACTCGCGTTTCCATTTTGAAAGGTTAGTTATCATTTATCAGTCTTTAGTGCTTCCGAGGGTATGTCTAATTCTTCGATTTCCCGATTTACCCTTTCAGCTATAGGTGCTGTATTAGGGCAACGTACCGTTGAACGCAACCAACTGTTTGTTAGTATTGCAAAGAGTAAAAGATAAATTAGATTACACATGTCAAAGAGTCTCAATATTGATAACTGTTATGTATGGTCTGTCAACACTTTACCACCCATTTTTTTAAATTTATAAATACGTAATGTATTAAATATGATTATAAAGCTATACTGTTATTGTTGCTATAGCTTAATTTATTCTATTCAATAGGACAATTTAAGATGCTGTAACTACTTAATTGACCTTAGGTGTAGTTGATTTATTTGATTCGGCCAACCTTTTGACATCATGCCTAATTGCCTATAGTTTTATTTAATTGGACCTTGATTACTTTAATCTTGAAACTTAAAAGAGGAAATATTAATAAGTTAAATAGTTTCTTATTATACAGTTACATATTTCATAACAAATAATAATAAGATAACGGAAATAGGAATTTCCTAATAAATAAATAAACAATAACATAACATTTAGCTATTTACCTCAAATAATATTAAAATTGTCAATTGTTAACTGAAACAGGTAATCCCTACTAAATATGGCAATTGAAAACTAAAATTTGCAATTCCTAGATCCTAATAAGTAATAATGTAATATCAACTCAAAATTCTAAAAATAAACATGCTCAATAAATAGAAAATAAAATTTTAGTTTTTTTGGTTAATAAACATCCTCCCTAAATATCTCACGATTTCAAAACTAATCAAGCCGCTCTAATCATCATAAACCAAGGTTCTAAAAAATTTGTCATGGCGTGCCATGACTCTATAGTTTGTACTTGACAGTACGTTTTAATAAAATGTCATCTTAAGTATATACAAAATTGTTGGCTTAGGTCACCTCTTAATAATGACGTTTCTCACCACGAGGTCACCATTAAATGAATGACGTTTCTCACCATGTGATGAAAAAAAATGAAAAAGTTACAAAACCTGAAGAACTTGTGAGGTTGTATGATCTTCTTTTACAGGTAAATAATCATTCATTCAGTCTGAAATCACCAAATTCGATGAGGGCCATTATTATGAATACTAACAAAGACCCATACAAAAACACATATACATAATGATATAGTTTTAAGAGCAATTTATAGCAACTTTTGGCATTACGTAAATATTGTGCAGAAAAGAGCATTTTCAGAGCAATTTATAGCAACGTATTTCCGTTAAATGGACATTTGTATATCAAGTAAAATAGACTAAAGCGAGCACATTTTGGTCAAAATGAGATAGTTTTTGGAAAGGTCAAATTGACAAAAATGCGGCAATTTTGGCATCAGGTCAAAATTGTGCTATAAAAATAACATGGAGCCTACAAAAGGTGATTAGGGGAATTTTATTAACTTTGGCAAAGTTTCAGTCTGAAATCACCAAATACGATTAGGGGCGTTTTAGTAATTCTTGCAAAGTTTCGGTCTGATATCACCAAAATCGATCAGGGGCATTTTAGTAATTTTGTCGAAGTTTCAGTTTAAAATTACAAACTATGACAAGGGGCATTTTGTAAATATATTACACATGGTATATTGATATTATTTTCGATATCATACCATATTTATGAAAATATTATATATTTATTATATTTTTTCCTTATTCTACAAGCTTTTCAAATTTACAGTTTTTTATATGGTAATTATTAACTTAAATATGGTATGATTTTATCTATTTGTGTACTTATATTTGACATGGTATACTGATATTATTTTGGATATCATACCATATATAAAACATCTTTTAAGTATGGAAATGATATTACATTGCAGAATCTTTATGTCATATCAGCATTAACCAAATTTATATTTCCCTATATTTTGTAAATATATTAGACATGGTATATTGATATTATTTTCGATATCATACCATATTTATGAAAATATTATATATTTATTATATAATTTCCTTATTCTACAAGCTTTTCAAATTTACAGTTTTTTATATGGTAATTATTATCTTAAATATGGTATGATTTTATCTATTTTTGTACTTATATTTGACATGGTATATTGATATTATTTTGGATATCATACCATATATAAAACATATCTTAAGTATGGAAATGATATTACATTCCAAAATCTTTATGTGATATCAGCATTAACCAAATTTATTTTTCCCTATAAATATACTGTCTACGATTTTTCATTACAAATCAAAATTCTCTCTAACTAATTATCCCCTTCCATTGCAGATAATAGTATTCCATGGCAGCTAACAATGCAGATCAGGTCGTCTTTGATAAGGTTGCTGAAATCAACGCATCTAAAGAGTCTTGGAACATACGTGTTAAAGTCGTCATGCTTTGGAAGCCGACCTATATAAACAATCCTAATATGGTCGCAAGCCTGGACATGATTTTAATTGACCAGGAGGTACTGTTTTTACACACTTTATTTTTTAGATTATCAAATTCTTATGTTATTTCTATTCAAAAAATTTAAATTCGATTTTTGTTATGCTTTTTTACTTCTATTCATACAATTTTAATAATCAACTTTATTATTTTTAATAATAAACTTTAGTCTATGTAATGAAATCTCTTATTGTTCCTTTTTTTTAAT